TGACGTCACAGGGGTCGAAAAAGTCAAAATGGCGGCGCTAGATATGGAGAGGGTTTTTCTCGAATAACTTTCGAAGTAGTCAAGATAGGAACAAACTAAGGGCATCATCGTGATCCTCTCGTCAATCCGCATCGAATGATATATATGTTGACCTCGAAAGGTCAAGGTCAAAGGTTGACCTCAGGTCACGTGACCTCGAGGTCATCATGTATATCATTCGATGCGTCTTGACGAGCTGAACACAATGAGACCATCCGCGCGGCTGTATCTTGTTCCTGTAAGGAGTTATTGGCAAAAAACCTTTGGTGACCTTTGATGACGTCACATGACCTTGCAGCTGCCCAACAGCAAAACAGACCTCAAGGTAGTGAAGGTTGATCGTATGTGAAGTCATGTATGGTATATGGAGCCATTCCGACCCGTTTTAGTGGTAAAAACAGGGAGTTGATTTTTCCCCCATTGACTTATAATGGGGAGGTCGCGAAATTGACCTGACCTTAGGTCACCGACATCAAAATTCCGAGATATACAAATTGTAGCTACTAATGACCTTATAACATCCTGCGACTTTCAAAGGCCTCCGACATCTACTGTAGCTCTGGCACGGTGACAAAGTTGCAAAAAAGTGACTTGAGGTTGGGTCATTCAAAGTGACCTGGTGACCTGACCTTAAAAGTTAGGAGGTTCAAACTTGCACACCATGTGTAAAATTGATGAGAGAATAGTCATACCAAATTTCGCGGCGCTACGCGCCGCGGTTTTCCCGCTATCCGCGAAAAACCTCAGGGGGGGGCGGATATCCGCCCCCCCCCCCGTCGGTGCGCGGGTTAACATTCTGAACCACCATACCCCATGTAAAGGACGTCTTCCTGACTCACGCCGGCCCGTGTTAGCGGTCCTGGCGGCCGCTTGACTCCCTATATGGACGCTCGAAGGCTGGGCCAGGTGACCCTCGCATCTTCTGCGTCGGGCCATACGGCGGCGTCCTGGTCGACCGGCTTCGCCTGGATCGGGCCGAATGATTGATTTCCAATCATAATACTGCCCACCCGTGGTGAGTTCAAATGTCAGCGGCGTCGAAGAATATTGTATATTTCCACAACTGAGGTTACATAAGCGGCTATTTCTGAAATAGCTTGCCCACTGCGTCGCTATAAATGAAAGACGTGTATTTCTGCTAAATGCATACATTGCAACACCAATAGTCGAGAAATAATATTGGCCGTGTCGAACGGTCCGTCCACTGAATATATCCCGAGTCGGTCAGTGCAAATTTTTCCCCGATCGTTTTCCGGTTATCAATTTCCAGGCCAAAGCAAAATGAAAAGACATCCCAAGCGTGTGAATAATTTTTCCCGAGCAGAGGCGAATAAATTTCGTATCTGATTGGCGTGTTGTCTCTATCCGGCGAAACGATAGCTATGCAAGCCTTTGGTTAGATTGGCAGACTGCGGTAACTCAGCGTTGTAGACAGCTGGTTTAACCCTCGCCGGACCTATTGGTTTTCTACATACGCGCCGGCCGAGGGGGGGGGGGGGCGGGTACGACCCCCCCTCGCCGTTTCGCCTCTGGTGGAGCTAGCGCGTCGCGGAAAAAACGAGCGTGTGCGCCGTTACGAGACGCAGAGATTGGTACCCGATTTTAAGGTCCTAGGTCAACCGGTGACCTCTGAGGTCAGGTCAAGTGCCCCAAGGTACGGTTCAGTTTTTGGTGAATAACTTCGCAAAAAACGGCCGCAGAGCGCCGATTTTGGCAGCATCGTGTTCGTCTCGCTCAGGCGCGTCGAATGATATACTTTTTGTCCGGGTCAGGTCAACTTGGGGTGTTGACCTCAGGTCAAGGACAGGTCAGCACCCCCAGGTCACGAAGTTGGTCGAAAGAGGTCATGTCGCATATCATTCGATTCGGCAGGTCTTCCTGAGTCCATTGGTGGCTTTCCCGACTCGCTAGCTCAATTTGATCAAGAGTTATTGACGAAAAACTAATATGACCTTGATGACGTCATAAATGACGTCACGCAAGGTCAACATTGCAAAAGTGACGCATCTAACCTTGCAAGGAGTGCATAAAATCACGATTCTGTGTGCTTGAGATAGTTGGAGATCGTTCCCGGCGCCAGAATAGCAGTTTTCATTTTTCCCCATTGACTTATAATGGTGAGGTCACGAAAATGACCTGACCTCATATGACCTTTAGGAAAAATCCGAGATATTCAAGTTGTGGGACTCATAATGGATACTAGATCCTGCAAGTTTCATTTCCCTGTGACATCTCCTCTGGCAGTGAGGGCGTTGCGAAGTTGCGACATCTGAAGACCGTGCAGAGGTTCACTTATGACGTCATAGGTCAGTGACCTGACCTGACCTAAAAATGCGGTTGGTGTCAAAAGATGCGGCTTGGACCAAAGGTCAGGTATGCCAAGTTTCAGCTCTCTATCGCCAGCGTGTTCGGAGCTATCGCGAAAAAACCCTATGGGGGGGGGACGGCACCCGCCCCCCCCCCCCCTCGGCCGGCGAGGGTTAAGTGGTCAGGTGGTTTAAATGGTCAGGTGACAGGTCTGTCAGGCCGCACATGCTGTAGGTCAGGTCTGTCTGGCCATCTCGGTCAGGTCAGGCTAGGTCGGTCCGATCAGGCCCCATCTCTGGTCAAATCTCACAGATCTCCAGCCGGGCCGTGTGTCTGCAGATTATACGCGCACTGCACCGGTCGAGCCGAGCCACCGATTGCCACATCCCCTCTGCACGTGTGCAGAGCGGTGTTGTGTTTGGCCAGTGCGGCACTGCGGACCGGCAGAATGGGAACAGGTCTGACCGAGTGACAGGCGTCTGGTCACTGACCCAGCCGCGCCGGCCGCGGTTTCGCCCGGGTGTGAGGTCTGTCTCTGTATATGAAGACCCGCTGTCGCCAGCCGGCCGGCCGGCCGCTCGGCGCACTTTCGCCGCGACTTGCCCCGCCCCCTCCCGCCTCGGCGTCAACAACAGTGTGTGGAAAAAGTGTCTGGGTCGGCGTCTGACGGCTGCCTCCCCAGGCGACGACAGCCGGTCGCAAGCCGCTTCCCAGAAACGGGCTCTTACAAACAGGCGCTGAATTGCGCTCAGTCGCTGCCGCGACTTTCTATTTGTCGCGCGCTAACGGGAGGGTCAGTGATCGGAAATGTGTGACACTTATTTCAACACCACGGTAGGTATCTAGATATACGAATAAGGTGCATTTAAAATATTTCTATCCGTTGTATGGACTATGGATTGCACGCATTCCCTCTGTCTAACTACCTGCAAGGGTGAATATAAACGTAAACGTTAGATTTTTTTTTGCACCGCTTAGGTGACATTTACTTTGAAAGTTATCACCGTCCGGTTAGGTGATCTTGCCTTCCGACAGTGCCGAAGTGTCAAGGTCTGCATTGACAGACGTTTCTGGTTCAGCTGACTGTTCTGTGCGCTGTTCAGCGGCTCTGACCTGGGCGGTAGCAGCGGGCCACCTCTGACCTGACCGCACCCGGTCCACGCTGGTGGCGTGGTCGCACTCGGTCGCTCGTGCCGGCCTAATTAATAATGTATGTGACCTTGTCCAACCGGGGAGCGGCTTGGCGGTCGGGTGCCGGCAGCGAGACAATGCCGCCCCACCCATCGACCTGTCCCGGCGCATATTCTGCCTGTTCTACACCTTCAGTAGCCACTATCCCTTGCCGACCTTCTTTTGTCTTCTTCATTGCTCCCTCTTCAATTAACGAGTCTGATATATTCCGAAACCCATGTGTCCCTCTTTTACATTTAACCATGCTTCTTATACGCCCTCATTCTTCAATGTCTTCGAATTCTACATACCCTTCCACTTACGTCTCCTGGATCTTTTTTATGCAGCATACATACATGGTGCGGAAGCACTTAGCTGTCTAGCTTACTTTTCGCGGAAATCACGAGTATCTCGCTTCGCTACCCCAGTTGACCCTGAAATGAGAACTGGATAACGGTATTACTGTCAAGGACTATGGTGATGCGTTGATGATGATGGAAATGATTATGAAGCTACTGTTACTGTTGCATGCTTAGGCGTAGTGTTGGTTTATATAGGCACTTGTGCTGCTTGGGACGGAAGACATGAGGCTAAATAAAACGAGACAAACCAGGAAGGATTTACGGAACCCAGTTAATGAAGGACATAGACAAGGACATAGACTACTGATTTAGAATAGTCTATGGCAAGGAAATCATAGGAGAGAATGAGGGAGGGGAAGGCACTTCTAGCGCTCTCTTCCTGGTCTTTCAAGTTCCCCTTCATTATGGCTACCTAATTCGTGCCACTTTCCCTACCCTGCTCATCCATCCGTCCCGTCTATCCTTTCGTCCGCTCATCCGCTCGCTCCCCTCCCGCCCGCGGCGGTGCGCCAGCAGTCACGGTTGACTGCTAACATTTCACAGCCTCCAGTGCAGCACTCCGACAGCACAGAGTACAGGAATGTGGAACACTGAGCGCTGGAATGTAGTTCCCCTCCCTTGAGCTCCCCACAGTCCTCCCGGTCCTGCGAACAGTTGACGGAAAATGGTGCAGAATGACAGGGTCGCGGGAATGAGTCATGGTCACGGAGGCAGGTGTTAGTTACCACCAAATTAGTCATGGTAACCGCCAACCAGTGCTGGTTACTGCCTATGACTTGTTGCGTGCGAGGGAGCTCGCTAAATTCAGTGCGATGCAGGTAGCACGTTGAACGAGTTTTCTTTCCTGGTTTGTGATTGTCACCCTCAATCGATTACACGGTCATGCTGGGCTGGTTTCGCGTGTCAATGACCTACTGGCTTTGGAACGGGTCATTGAGTATTCACTGTTATAGGATGTCGAGAGAATCGTTTTCACTGTTCAATTAGCTGGAAGTGGAACATCCCTTGGGTTGAATCGTATCACTTTTCACAAGTTTTTACCTGTAACATGCCAGCTGTGTCCGTCTTTGCTCTCGATGTGTTCCCTTTCTGACCGACCCCTGCCCCGTCTGTGTGTTTCAGGCTGCCGACGCCGGCGGCGGCGCGGAATGCCCTCTAGTGCGGGCGAAGTGTCCCTGTCGCGACTCAGCGCCTACTCACCAGCCACCATGCCGGTCACATCGCGGTTCTCCTACTCTTCAACGTCGTCCTACTCGCCGCGGTCGTACGTGCACCGCGCCACGAGTCTGGAGCGCGGCTCGTACTCGCCGCTCTCCTCCAAACACTCGTCTGTGTACTCATCCTACAGCAGCTCTTCGTCGAGCTCTGCCCCAAGCCGACCGCCGCTGCCGTCTGCGTCCATCGACTACCGCCGGCGCTATGACATCGGCTCGAGAACGACCTCCTCCTCTCGGCGGGAGACGGCTCCGTTTGATATGGACTCCCTGGGAAAACTCACAGAGGCCAGGAAGTATCTCATGGAGCGCCGCGCCGCAGAGGCCCAGCCGAGCAGTCCATCTCGACCGCGCTACTCTCGCACTGAGAGCCGAGAGGTGACCGGCCGCTCCACCCTCGACCTACCCAGCCGGTCAGCTCGCGGCTCGATCGCCGGCTCGACGAGTCACTCTCGACAGGAGAGTGTCGAACGCGTATCGGATCGTATCCTCAACTTTGAGTCTCGCTCCAGCTCTGGGTATGGCTCGAGCAGCGGGGCAGCCAGCCCGGCGTCGACCCGGCGCCGGTCCGAGCGCGTCGTGCCGATCGTCCTGGACAGCGACCGACGTCCGTCCACTGAGGTCACCGAGCGGCGGCCGTCCGTCTCTGAGCTGCGCCGGCAGTTCGACGCCGTGGTAGCCGCCACTTCCTCCGCCGCCGCGGGCTCATCTGCAGCAGTCAGCTCTGACGACGACTCGAGCTCAACGCTCTCCTCCAGCTCCCAGTCCGCTGTTCCGGTGAAGGAGTCGAGAAAGACGACCAGCGCGCCGGCGCCGCCCTCACCACCGCCGTCCCCACCACCGGCACCAGTGGTGACTGCACCAACACCAGCACCAACCCCGGCACCAGCGACACGGGTGGTCGGGGGACGGACCGCCGAGCCGGAGCGACCTGCCTCACCAGTCGCCCATAAACTCACCAATGGACTCACCAATGGGCTCACCAACGGACTCACCAACGGACTCACCAATGGCCATCATAAGGAGCGGCCGAGTGGGGAGAAGGTGAGTTGGAACGCTGACTTGGGTCAGCAGGGCTCTGTAATTGCCGTTTAGCTCAAACGAGTGTTAACTGGTAGCTTAATACCTGTCCAAGGGTACTGTGTGTTTGCCGTAATCTTACATCCGAAACAGCGCAATGCGCGTATCATAACAAAATCTTCACAAGTCGATGAACATGGGCGGAACTATACCTATCGCTGATCTGACTGTTTTCATCTCCGAGACTCCAGGGACTGACGGGAAGGGTCTAGAGCGATTTTGTCGCAGAGGGCTTACAATTGGCTGCAATCGGCCTTCCCAGTGACTCGCCGTGACAGACTCAATCGCCGCTGGGCTTGTGGCTACTTGGCCGCGATTCTGGATCATCTGGGAAGCAGCGGTGGTGGTGGGTCGGGCGGTACGTCTTCCCCCACCTGGCGTCCACAAAACCGCACGTGTTGGTCGGCGAGCCGTGAACCAGCCGGTAAACAGACGCGATGACCGACTATTTTGTACACCATGGTGCCGAGTTCTCACAGCCGACCAGGTTCAGGGAATCTGTTAGTAGGTTAGTTCCAGATGCTGAGGCATTGGCAGACATTCAGTATGTTGTTTGGGCTTTTGTACGACGGACAGTCTTGCGCCCTGTCCTTTCCCATCCCGTCCAGCTGAGTGATCCTATCGGTGCAGATCGCTCCCCTCCCGCCGTCATCTCGGCGGAAGTGGTCAGTCATAGCTCGGCGGTATCTGGGGCACCCACCGTGCCGCCGGCACCCGGCCCGGCCCGGCTGCAGCGTCAGCCACGTGCCGTCAGTCTGCAGTGGACGGCACGGAAGGGCAGGGCCGGCGGCGGTCCAGAAACCCGTGCCAGCAGTCCGCGCTGCAGCGAGAGCAGTAGACCGCCCCAACTGCCGGCCAGGCCGCTGGCTCCCGATGGAGGTTCTCCTGAGATGATGAGGGTCAATAGGAATGGCCACTGCCAATAGGAAGCCAATGGCTTCAATGTGGAGTTCTAAAGACAGAGCCTGCCCGTTACGAGCCACTACCAGGGAGATGCTGCCGGAATCTTGGTGGCACCGATTCCGACCACCTTTAGTCTCTGTCGATTCGGTCGCGATTTTCATCTGAGCCCAGCTGCTCGATGCAATAAAGCAGAGCACTATTGGTGCCGCATTTATGGCCTGAAAGCGCTATTGGTCCTACATCGTGCATCGGTACAAAAAACAAACCTACAATACGTTGGGCGAACACATGTAAACGTTTACTGGTTCATTACTGACTCACTAGTTCATGGGCATGCTGCTGCCATGTTCCCCCTCCGGGCATCTAAACAGTAAACCAACAAATCGTTACGGGTACACTCATTATGCTGGATCCGTTACCCAATAGATGCACCAAACTCCATCTCATTCAGAAGTTACGGTGCTCGCTGGGCTATCTGGCTGAGTTTGTGGTCGAGACTGTCATCTGCCTACCACCTCTTCCTCCGACCTCCACATCCACGTAATTATCTGTCTGTGCGTCTGCCTCTGTCCGTTCGTCTGTCTCATTATGTTCCGTTTCGTTCCGCTCCGTGTCCGTTCTCTCACGGCCTCCATACCGGTAGTCCCGAGCCGCCATCTACCACCGTTGACCACCGTTATCTGACGGTTGTGGGTCGTTCGTTCGCAGCCCAAATCCACCGCCGAGGTTCGGTGATCACGCTCAGAGCCGCCGGCCGCATCCGGGGCATAATTGAGTTGATTCGTCATTCGTTTTTCAGTGTCGAGTGAGTTGCCAAGTAGGGATTATTTGCTCGTCATGCTCGAACAAAAAACGCAGAAGTTCCGGATGAATGAGGTGCTGAAAATCAGTCTCGCTCTCCTGCGTTGGAAAGCTGAGACTTGGTCGGTCAGCTCGAGACTCATTGGTTCCAATTCATTGAACCACCTGTCGATATGCAGTGAACGGGTGCAGTCAGGTGTCTAGGACACCGTCTGTTCCCCAGTGTATGTCTGCAGTGGCTGAGTTTGGTCGGGTGGATAGCGGGCCGTCCGATTCCCACCGTCGCCCTGGCGTCCTGCCAGCGCCGCCGGCAGCCGGCGCACGTCCGACGGTATTTATGCCGGCAGCTCAGTGACCCGCTATTCCCGGGGGACACGTGACCTCCCCCCCCCCCTCCGGACAGTCATCAGCTGATGGCACCAGCTGGCTGCGGACGGGGCTGCACGGACAACTGTCAGCCGTCAGTCGAGGACAGTCGCCCCCCCCCCCCCTCCCCTACCGCTCCTCCATCAGCACTACAGTGCATTCATGAATACAGCACCCAGCGAGCACAGGCTCGGCCAAACCGGCACAGCAGTCGCCTGACTACCGACCACGTGACTTGCCACCCGGGCAGGTAGCCAAACATGGCTATGATCGCCGGACGCGCGCGGCAGTTTTTGCCCACCTTCTGTCGCCGCGCAGCCACTGTGGTCGGTCGGTTTTTCGGCAATAACTCATAGAAGCGGTTCGGTACGGTTGCCTTTTTGTGGCTGTGTTTCGACGCGCCCGCTGGTCGATGCCAAGCGGTCGGCTTGGGCTGCATGGCTCGTTGGTTAGACGAGGAATTTAGGGCTGGTTCTTGACGGAAAACAAATTATCGCGATGGTGGAATTCGACCGGAAGGTCCCATTTGTTGTGCCGCCAAATCGTGGTCTTATTTTTCTGTTGGTCAAATTTTCATCTTCGATAGACGGAAACGTTTGGTAAAACCAATCGGTTTCAACCAAGTATGGTTGAAACCGCTCGTGTCTCCACGTTGGCATCTTATTGGCTTCACTTTTCCAGTTAAATATTGGAATTGCAACGGCTCGTATGTATAAGTGAGCTTTAACCAGTATACTTATGGAGACGAATCCTTATTGTTTGTGACACCATGCTCAACACGGGAACACTCGGTCATGCTCAGACTAGTGCAGACTGCAGATGCCACGAGACTGATTGGCTCAGGTTTATCGTTCAGCGACATACTCATACACTTCGATAAAGGCTTAGAGAGTACGAGATAGGTGCCGTGGTCGATTGTGGGTAACAGGGTTAAGTTTAAAGTGGTATCGTAGGCTCACTACAAACATCACTGTCCCAACGAGTAACCGGATTGCTAGTGTTGACATGTTTTAATCCCCATCCCATATCGCTGAGTTGTCATGACCTGACCCTCGGCGTTTCTCCCACAGGAGGTTAGTTCGGTGTCGAGTCGCCAGTCGTCGCTGCTGTCGGAGCCCGCTCTGCGCCGTCAGAGGACAGAGAGCTCCGACTCCAGCTCAGCCAGCACCTCTCCCGCCGCCGAGAGGCCGACGGAGACCGCCCCCGTCCAGTACGGGCCGCAGGACGGCCTGACCGGCCTGAGGAACATCGGAAACACGGTGGGTAACGGCAGTGGATGACAATGGACCACGGCCTTGACACTAGACTCAAGAGAACACCAGACCCAGGCACCATTACCAGGTCATAGCCTTCTAGTTGTTCCTCACCTATCCGTGCTTCTATCCTCAGGATACTGAAATCCTTCTCCTCCAAACCGCAACCCCCCTCCGGGCTGGACAGGCAACTTTATCTCATGCGGGCTGCTCCCTTGGAGCGGCACCGCTGCTCCTGAGGGAGCGCACCCCGTAGCCGGGTGCAGTGAGTGCCTTGGGGCTGAGTGGCCTGTCCTCTGGACGGGCTCAGCCCCGGCGACTCACTAGGGTGCCTGCCCAGACCAATGTCTCCCCCTAATTCCTATCATCCTCCCGGCTCTGCAATGGTCTTGTCGACCGAAAGGGCCTAACCCAACAAAACAAACAAACAAAACAAACTAGTTGTTCCTCGAACCGATGTCAAATCTTGGTCCCCTGACCCTGACCTCGGTCAGACCCTGTTAGTTCATTGGACCCCGATACTAGACTTTGCTCTCATACTCGTGGACACAGGCACCAGATCCTTTTCCTGTCCCTGACCCGGCGCTCAGACCCCGATAGCTAGCTCCTGGACCCCGATGTCAGATCTTCCTTCCTCCATCTCTTGAACTACCGAGCCTAAACTTGAACCAACTCGCGAGTGCCTACCGATGTCCGCTCCCGGCGTTCAGCAGAGAGGAAAGATGCTATACAGCGTGCCCGTCCTCCTGAACACATCTGGCAGCGGCTCTGCACCAGTCGCAGACACAAACTTCCAGCCGTGAACCGCCCCTGTCTGGTCCCACCGGGGTCATAAGTGAGTCACATCTCACGGTTCAGCCCGCTCCAGTTCGTCGTTCTCAGTGACACTTGATGTGAGTGTGGCCTGATTTCCTGCGCGGCAGCAGGCACCTGCGTCATTCCAGACTGGGTGAGTCACCAGACAGAAATACCCACCACCTGGCCCCTGGTACGCCGCTGGAGCCCGCATCCCCGTCGGATTTTCCCAGTGATCATCCTTCCTCCCTCCCCATGGCTGGTCGGAGCTATCGCAGCGCCACCTGTGATAGATCAGACTTCCGCCTTTGAGCGGGCTGTAAACACTGGTGTGTGTTGATGCGTGAGCAACCCGTGCGGTGAGCCAGAGATGCTCCATCGCCAGCCGGTGCGGCGGCAGAGAAAGGTATCAAACTGGGCTGCTGAATGGGCTGCTCATCAAATGCTCATCAGCCTCGCAGCCCATCAATCCGGCTGTGGGTGGGGACGAGGCTGACTGGGGCTGCGCTGAAACCAGTCAGTCGCGAAAAATCAGGAGCCGACCCGGGAGTGGGTCAGCGATGGGCGTGCCTCCATCAGACTACCTGCCGCCCCGGGCTCCCTCCCGATCGTTACACTACGCCGCCGCTAGACACGCGAGCCGCACTGCGCTCCAGTCAGTGTGTCACGTGATGTCTGCCGGCCCCGTCAGTGTGCGTCACGTGACATCCGGCAGTGGTGGCTGACTGGGCTGACATTGGCGTGTCCTTGTGCTGCCGCCCGCCGCCCGCGGTACGCGCGCTGTGTTATGGATGCGCCGCCCCCGCCCGGCGCTGCACCACGCGAAGGTCACGCGCGGCTCGGTCGCACGCAGTTGCCCCTCCCTCTCCCTCTTCCTTCCCCTCTTCCACCCCTCTCTCTCGACCGGTATCGATGGCCATATACTTCACAGGTAGGCACTGCGTATGAAACCGAACCGGTGGCGGCGAGGCCATGGCACACGGCCAGCTCTGGCGGAAGTCTGCCTGTAGCAGGCACTCGGCTGTTTAGATGGGAGCGGAACAGACCCCTACTGTGCGTATATACAGTGTGGAGGCCGCAGGCGGGGTGCCGCATGCCTCACTGAATAGGTGCGAGAGCCGCGCGGTGTGGGACAGAAATAAATGATATCTGTGGTTGCGAGAAACTTGTAAATGCGGAGCGTCAGACAATCTTCGCATCGGACGCCAGTGTTAGCGGCCTGTGTTACGGCCCACGTCTCTTTTCCGCTCCTCTCTGCTGTTACGAGTTACGACCCTTCCTTCCCTTCCTCCCTGCTACCGCTCCTACGCTCGACGGTATTGCCCCCACTGAACAACTACCCACGCACGCACTAACCGCTATTGATGGCCTGTGCGTGCGCCGTGCGAGGTTAAAAACAGCCGTGCCGTGACCGCTTCAAACTGGATTTAAACAGCAGTCAAGGTCGACACTGAACTCCGCTCACATCATCACATCAAATCGACATTGTGGCAATATCAGATCCATTACGTCCTCACGTCAAAGCGATGATATCCTATCCAGTACAATAACATCCCATCTCATACGCTACTATGTTGCTGTTGTGTGTAAATCTATCGTCTAACTTTCCGCTCACTTCTGTCCCGGCAGTGTTTTATGAACTCGGTGCTGCAGTGCCTGAGCAACACCCGCGCTCTGCACGACTACATCCTGCGAGACGGGTTCGCCTCCGAAGTCAACACCACCACCTCCAGCATGAAGGGCGCGCTCATCCAGGGTAGGTGTCTCATAGAGCGGTAGAAGATGTTGGCAGTCCTCGGATGGAGCGATTACGGTGCATCAAAGGGGAATCGCCAGCAAGCTTACTATCTCGGGTTATGCCTTCCGGGGGAAGCCTGATATCAGATGAATGATGAGGCTTCTTAGGGGATCAGCTTTTGGGATGAGGAACTTATTTTATCTGGCAGTCTCGGAGACCATATCAGTAGCTGTCTGCTCTGCGGTGTATTGTCATTAGTCCAATGGGATTGTCGCAACAGGATAGGGTTATCACCGGACATTGCGCTCGGTGAACACTGGAATGTCGTGAATCCTTACATTGTGCTCATCTTAATGCATGCTCGTCAACCAGCTAACCCTCTAACCCTTCTCCCGGCCTGCAGCGTTCGCCGACCTGATGCAGGACCTGTGGAAGAAGTCGGACGAGACGGACAGGGTGGTGACCACGGCGCCGTTCAAGTCGCAGATCCAGCGGTTCGCGCCGCGCTTCATGGGCTACCAGCAGCAGGACGCCCAGGAGTTCTTAAGGTGAGTGCCGGGTCGTCTGGGATGAGTGTCCTACGATCAACAGCAAGACGTCGGGTACATCTTCAATGTCACTGATATAGTCGCAGTCGAATTTCAGCTATGTTTTCAGCCTTAACAGCATCAACGTATGTGTTTATGTCTTTCAGGTACCTTCTAGAGGGGCTGCACGAGGACGTCAACCGTGTCACGTCTCGGCCGAGGCCCATCACGGAGGATATCGACGACAACCTCAGGTACCGTACATACACTGTACAGGCCACCCTTGCTAGCGTCAAGGAATAAAGTTATCTAGCTTACCGTGGAATGTAGTGGTTTGATGGCACCTTTGTGGGCGTTGATCAATTATGTGCGAATGGAGCGTGTGCATCAGTGCATATTCGCCCATGCTCAGGTCCTTTCGGCTCGTCTCAAGATTGCGGCGATAAACATGTGTGTTATAAATGCCCTGTTATAAATACGGATAGCAAACTGTTATTCATTTGAGATTGCGAAGATTCGCTTCCGAGCCGTGACCTCTTGATAACAGATGAACATTTGGCCCGCAGTGACAGTCAGAAGGCGATGGAGTCCTGGAAACGGTTCATGAGGTTCGACAACTCCAAATTCGTCGACCTGTTCGTCGGACAGCTCAAATCCACTCTTCGGTACGTAACTGTCAACAGGAAGGGTAGCACGATATGTGATATGTAGCTTAGTTTTACGCTTGTTTACATATGGCAATTATAAGGCAGTCAACCAAACGTTTGATGAGTGAAGATTGATTGCCGAACTATCGAACTATCGAAAAGTATCGATTGCCGAACTGATGCCACTTTATGGTATACGCTGTGCATTTGGTATTTAGTCGTCCGACGCTCCCACCCATACCCCTCTTTCACTGCTAACCCGCCCGCTTTTCCGTTAGGTGTACCGTATGTGGCCACGCGTCCGTCACCTTCGACCCGTTCTGGGACCTGAGTCTGCCGATCCCGGCCAAGACGGGCCAGGTGCGCCTGCAGGCCTGCTTCGACCTCTTCACCAAGGAAGAGGTGCTGGACGGCGACGAGAAACCGGTCAGTGCACCAGGGAGGGGTGCTGGCAGGACCCCTGTCCCTCGTAGGGGTCAGGGGATGGTCGGATCATGGATGAGATAATAGTGGATTGTTGTTTCGTGAAAATTAAGACAGGTATTCGCGACATTGGTATCAGACTTGCCATCTAGCGCGAGAATTATCGTTAGGTAGTGGTAAGCTAGATGGCAAGCCTGAGCTCAATGTCGCCAAAAACTGCTTATCCACCAATCCAGTATTATTTCATCTCTGGTCGGAGGTCTAATGCGGGAACCACATGTAACGGAATCATATAATAGCTCCCAACACCCACATATGCCTCAAACACCCCAGCTGAGAGAATCAATGTCACTGGCTCAATGAGTAAAAGATCCACTGACCTATATGTTCGGCCCACTTTCTGATGCATCAGTGCGTTGTGGAATCGCTGGTGTGCAAAGCATGTTTACTCGGACGAGAACGTCCCTCGTTACATTGTATTCACGCTTATGCAATCCAAGATGTGATATCGCCACGATAGTCTAGCACAATCGATGGTTGACGTCACCGTTTTCGTTTCAGACTTGCGCCAAATGTCAGAAGCGGCAGAAGTGCACCAAGAGTTTCGCCATTCAGAAGTTCCCACGCATCCTTGTGGTGCATCTGAAGCGATTCTCACCCCAGGAGCGGTACCGAGGCAAACTGAACAGCGTGGTCGACTTTCCGCTCTGCGGCCTGGACCTGTCCGCCTACTCGGAGGGGCAGGGCTCCTGCAAGTACGTATCTGTAGATCAGCAGGCTGCGGACGCAGCTGTGGTGATGTTGTTACATGGGTGCTTTTATTTATGACGTTTTTTCATCGAAGATTTTCTGCATTTCGAAGTGATTTATCCATGACTGATGACATTTCTTCGAACGTTTTTCCATGAATCGGTAACTAAACCAAGCTAAATTTTGTCAAGATGTCAGTCCTGTGTTGCTCTCATAGAATTAGTATGCTTCGAGTCTCGAAGCGCCTTCATGATTTAGCGATCTCGCCCTCTCTTACATCCACACTGACGGTCTATCTGTTTGTCCTGTTCAGGTACAGCCTGTACGGGGTGGCCAACCACTCTGGTACGCTGTACTCAGGCCACTACACGGCCTACTGCCGCCACCCGTACTCGTCCGAGTGGCACGAGTACAACGACAGCAGGTCAGTACCGTTCAGTGCCACTGAAGTACCAGTACGGTGCAATGCCGCTCCAGAGAGACAAGCACCGTTTTGTTTTACAGCAGAAGCTATTAGGGCATACAATTTGTTGAACAAACCAAAACATGTTGAATTTGTCACAGTGCTGGCAAATTTTTTGTCCCTATTTTGTACGGCGTGATAAGCTGGTTAGTCTTCATGCTATACTGTTTGAGCTTCAAGGCATCAAAAAGTTTTGCTTCTGTGTGCATTTTGCTATGGTAAGCACGATCGTCAGTCGGGATTTACGATAAGCTGGGCAAAATCTAAGGCGCTCTGTTTGACTAGATTCTTTCTACGACGGACTATTGCACCGAAAGCTACACCTCATTGTTGACCGATCTCCCTTCTGCGCAGGATCCGCACCACCTCGATGCGCTCAGTGGTCAGCAAGGAGGCTTACGTGCTGTTCTTCGAGCTGGCCGGCTCTCCGGGCCTCTAACCGGCCGACCGGTGCCTCTCCCGCCGCGCCCTCCCTCGCAGTGTCGGCTCGAACTGTGCGTCTTTCAGTCAGGGGCGGCGCGGCGGACGGTGCGCGTGCGTCGACGGTCGAGTGTGTGGGCCGTCGACGGTTGTGTGTGGGCCGTCGATGCCGATACGATGGTGGCGGAGTGGGTGGGAGGTCGTCGATGATCGTCAGTCCTCGTCGATGGGTGGACTGTGGGATGACGAGGTTGGAGGCGACGCGATGTTACCTCTTGCCGGTGGCGGAGTGGATGGGACTAGTGCCGCCGGTGTTATGAGCGTGTATTCACAGTGATAAGAGTGAGTGCGGCGGGTGTCGGTAGCCGCTGTGTCGATTGGCGGTGAACTGCGGCCGCCGCCCAGTAGGTAGTTTTACTGGCACCGCTGTGTGGCGCCAGTGTCGTATGAGCTCGTCCCGCGCCCCCTGGGAGCGTTTTGGTCACCAGTGGTTCGAACCGCGGCCGCCAGGTGCCGAGGACTGTCCCAAGTGCGAGGGACGGCAGTGGTTGTGTTTATCACCCCCAGATGGCTCCCCAGTCGCTGCTGGTCCCCTGGCGTCCGCCCGCCTGCTGTCTGGTCGGCGAGCGGACCCCTCGGCGGAGCCTGCGGGACCGGGGCGGAGCCCCTCCCGTGATCTAGTCGACATTTGTAGTGCAGACCGCGTGCGAGAATCGTGTGCATGTCCGTGTGGTGAACACTATATTAGTGGCTTCACACCGAGTGCAAAATATATAACCGTCGTGTTTCTACTGTATTGTCGTGTATATTCAACCAGATTACAGGATTCGATCGTTAAAAACTCGAAACGAAACGCTCCGGCCAACCCACTGGCCTGGAGGACAGAAGAGAGCGTTGGTATTCAGATATGACTAGGGGTATCACAAATGGACGGGGCGGGCGCAGTTATCAGAGCAGAGAAGCTCGAGTGGCGCCCCCCAGCGGCGCTTAAACCGATCACCGGGTCACACACGGAAAAGACGGGGGTAGAGAGGCGTGTCGGCCCTTCCAGCGGACCCGAGACACACCCGGAGCGGTGCAGGGACAACTCGTCCCCGCTACAGCTCAGACACAGGGCGGCGGAGCAAGACACCAGCTCCAGTGGCAAAGGCACGCTACTGGCCCAGACACCTTCACAGGGTGTCCCTGTCCATTGTCCAATAACTGACACTGTTAACTGAAAGTATTCTTCTGTCACGGAGAATAAAGTCAGGATCAGCGTAAAACTATCAGTGGAAAACTATCTTTGAAAACTGTCATCAAAACTTCGATAACTACCGCTGTATAAAGTTTCATTGCTCTTGATGGGACCGCCTAGCTGCCGCCGCCGCCGCCCGTCAGTTCGTCTTCATACTGCTTGCGGAAGCAGTCTCCGACGGGGAAGAAGTCCCAGGAGCGCTGCTGGTAGAGCGTCCACACGTAGGTCTCCTGACCCGTGTACTCGGTCTCGTCCTTGTTGATCAAGTGCATCAGGAAGAACCTGTGGGAAAGAGGTGAAAGAGAAGTGAGAAGGTGAGGTGAGAGGGGATCGGGTAAGAGCATCCAGTATTACTTGGTGATCATAGGTACGTTCATACTCCCCACCTCCTGAAGTTCGAGTAACCTAAAGACCTATTTTGACTATGGAATGGACATCACGACATAACCTCATACATTGAACAGCTGTTGTTTTTCTGGCTCACGAAACATTCAACCTCCGTACCAGCAACGTAAATCGATGATCCATGTCTCAAGACAATAAAATCTACTTGGTATTTGTTATCACGTGTATCTTGCAATGGACACAACAATAATGTTGTGCTGCATTGCACAGACTGCCCGACGATGATCTCACATGTAGTTGGCCAGGTTGTGCTCCTTTTGCACGTGCGTCTCGAAGCCGTGCGGCACGTTGTCGAAGTAGTCCTTGCCGATGCCGCAGATGAAGCAGTTGGACTCCATGTCCTCCTTCACCGACTCCAGCTGGTCACGGAGCTCGCCGAACGCGTCAATGATCAGACCTGCAGCGCGACCAGACAGACGGGTTAGGTGGGCGATAACTACGCCGAGGTTGAGTCGTAAGCCTTGAAGAGATTTGCCCCTGGAAGCGAAGCATGAGAGGAATGAATCCCACAACTGATACAATAGAAAAAAAACGTTACCACACAATATATGCGAATTTTAAATAACAACAACCATTCATTATTCGGCAAAGAACGTTTGAAAAAAGATAGATAAACAAAGTCTATTCCATTATAAATGACACGCCCAAACATGACACGATCGTCAAGAACGGTCCCTACTCCCTAAACCATCTTTTTTGTCGCGCGTACCCTGGATGATGGCCAGCAGGATGACGATGACGAAGAAGAAGAACGAGATGTCGAACAGGATGCGGTACACCTCGTTGAGGTCGCCATCCGGCGGGTCGATGACGTCTCCGATACCACCACCGGCGCGCACGCCCTGGTACAGATGGAACACGAAACACTGCCGGCGGGAGGGGGGGGGGGTCAGCAGGTCAACATCTAAAACGTACTACACTGAAGAAAAGGGAGTAAACATGTGAATGAAGCTCACACATTCCTGATGCGTGCTGGGGAGGCAGAAATGGATTAAGAGACCCATGCATTGCGACAGAAATAAAGAAGTCGTCTCTACACATTGCAGATAATCACATCTACTATGCATTTCAGACCCCATGAGACCCTGTTTTTCGGCGATAATTTCTTCAATTTTTGTCCAATTAACTTGAAATTTTGGCAGACGATGTTTCAGCTCAAGCGCCAATTTTCGTCAATATGGTCTTTTAACAAAATATCAAAATTTAGAGCACTTGTCGTTGGCTCGTAATGTTAATCAGTTTTTGCACCCGGATAGAGGCTCGCTCGCTACCGCACCGGATTGGATAGGAGCGCCGGCCAATCACGTTACGCCGTGCTCAACTTGACTCCGCCCACTGGCCGTGACCGCGATGGGTCTAACTATGCCGCTTCAGTCGGTGTCAGCACCGCGGAGAGGTCGCAGCGGGACCACATACTGAAGACAAGTGAAGCTGGCAAAGTTGTTTCGGGACGAAAGCCAAAAAATTATCCGTTCGAGGGCATTTGATGTCCTCTTTTCCTTATTTTGGTATTTAAACGTCGAACCAGCTGAGAATATTCAGAATGATCAGAATAAAGGTAGGATCTATTGGAACGAAACCGGCCGTAGAAGGAAAGATAGATGAACTCTTGGACTCTGAACATTTATTTAAGCCGGAGTTGCACCTATCTCATCGTCAGGTTGGGTCAGGTCACTACCCGATTGCCTATAAGATCATGTGTAAGCCTCTGCATGACCCAAAAATATTGATATATTTGGCAGCGTCAATAAATGTTTCTGAGGAAGGCGCAGAATGCAACAAAGTAGGATGAAGAGTCTCGGGCACGGCCGATTGCCTGGGGCATCGCTCCAGCGAGACGACCGTATTCGTGATTCGTGAAGCGGTGCGGGGCGCCGGGTGGGGCAGAAGCGAATGTGTCGTATGGTAGAATGTCATGTGTGTGTTATATTGTTAACGTGCACCGAAAGAAATGGAATGTGGCAGGCGGTTGTTGTGCACTACACGAGAACGATCATCAAGAAACACGTAGGTATCTTTTTTGTAAAACTTATGTAACAGTAGGTATGTCCTCAATGGTGAGGTAACTATCTCTAGGCTTTTGCTTTTCATGTTTGCATTTCAACACACAAGATCTGGGGGGGGGGGGGGTAAACTAGTTAGTCCGGCGACCTCCTCAACCTAAGTCAATGATAAAATGGATTAGTCCTGAAGGTGTTCAATGCTTATGCTGCACCGGGATGATATAAATCGATCACGCCGGCATACATTCCCAATCAAATTTCATTTTCAAACACATAAACTGCATCCTATTAATCGTGATTCTATTTTGCAATTTGGACGTATACTGACGCGATACATAATTTTACGCAAGCATTTGAAATCAACAGCGTCTTTTATGTGCGTTTTTTTCACAAGCCCCGAATCTTGTGTGGAAAACGATATTTTTTGTGACTGAACAAGGTGTACGCACATTTGTAATAAATACAAAGTCGAGGGCTTCAGCTAGTCCGTTACTTATGCGCTTTTTAGCTCATTCGATGAAGTTACGGCTGCCACGACAACTGCACGGCAGCTACGTTCCATGCGAGCCGCCCCGGTGCGACAGCTACTGCCCCGCCCGCTCCACGCAGCCGACTGACCGGCCAAGGTCACCGCCGGGAGGGCGGAGCTTAATGGTCACGTGTTTGTGACGTCACGCCTACGTACGGATAGCCTCTACTCCACTGACGGATTTACGGAGCCGATTTTAACATTACGAGGCAACGACAAGTGCTCTAAATTTTGATATTTTGTTAAGAGACCATATTGACAAAAATTGGCGCTTGAGCTGAAACATCGTCTGCCAAAATTTCAAGCTAATTGAACAAAAATTGAAGAAATTATCGCCGAAAAACAGGGTCTCATGGGGTCTGAAATACATAGTAGTGCCAAAAACATCGGATACAGACGTAGTAGTGGTGATTGAAATAACAGAATACTCAGCAATACGATTCTAGTTGTATGTGAAAGGCAAGCGGCATCGAACACAACAGGACATGCCAATTGACATGTCTTACTGAAGAATTCAACTGAAAAAGTGACGTTGAAAGGTTGTGATTCATACGAGTCGCCGCCATCCGGAAAATAATCCATATGGATTTGTGTTTCATTTCAGCTAAACGTCATTGAACAGTGTAGGGAAACGAGACAGATCAGACTATGAAAAGAAGCAGCAACCACTAAAAACACGAACAACAACACTATTAATCGTTTCTGGAAGTAGGATGCATCTTCAAAGCCTTGCATAGTTGAAACTGATAGGCAAGATCGAGAGATATACAGGATCGATGATTCCCGCGGGTATCAGAAATTGATGCTCGGACCAAGACTAGTCCGGCACAAAAAAAAACGTGCTGACAGGCGTAGCCCGCTTACTGTAAACATGTCGTGGCACTTTTGGTCGACGTTGTCGTCCTCGGCCTGTACGTAGAACTTGCGGAAGAAGTTGAAGGCGATCACGGTGTAGATGTAGACGACGATGGTCAGCAGAAGCAGCGTAAGGCAGAGCTGTGAGACGAGACGACACGTCAGCAGACGGGTCAGCGACCGTGGGTGTACGTGGGGAGCAACGGTGATAAGGCGACGGGATACAGACTCAGGCATGATAAGATCATAGATACCCAACACATTAAACAGGCAGATAGGAATGGACACGTAAACACAATACACATAGCCAACCAGTCAGCCATACGCACAGCCATTCAACCACACACAGACACACATACACAGACGACAAATGACAGACACCCCGAAGTTTGCAAACGATAAGCGCGGGGGGCTAAGCGGATAGTTCCGACAAAGAACACGTATTCCAGGAGGTAAACATGTTGTGCAGCCAGCGGAACGGTGGCTGAGACCACCACCTGGGAAGAAGATGACGCAAATCCACACAATTTATGATGCGTGTGACCGATAGCTTGACCTACAAACGGCGGAAACATAAATCCAGCCACTACGTTTATCATAGGCCAGTGCGGGGAAAACAGTTGATAGGTTTGTCTACAAGGGTTGACAGTTCCGAGCTGCATAACTTGAGATAAGGTCAATTCAATTTATCGGTCTATACGTTGTTGATGTCTATGAACAATCTGGCGAAATGATTTATCGGAAGACAACACAGCCAGTAAATCATTATGAATTGATCTGTCCCGTGTCGGTCTGCGTCTAGTGAGCGGCCACATCAGTGCCGACTATTTACCGATTGGCGATCCGTTGACCGTAATCCACGTATAGCCATCGCCGATGATCGCTATATCGAATATTGTGCGTCCCACGACCCAAGCCATCGTCATTTCCATCATCAAGGCGTGAATATCGTTCGCGCTCAATACCTGTTCGGTATCCGCCGTGAGCACTTACAAAGGGCAACGCGATTTTGAGGCTGGTGATTGAATGAAAATTAGTAATAAAAATCGTAGCCTAATGCTCGTACGGGCATTTGACATATCACAAGCGACCGTTTCGTACCTATCCATCATCAGTTCTCGTAAGCTGAAATATTCCCACAATGCACCAGCCCCCACAGTGATTGTTCCATACCTGTTTTCCGTTGTGAGTGACCGACTGCAGGATCGTCTTCAGTGACGGCACGGCCACGGCCACGTCCAGCAGGTGGGCCGCGAAGAAGAAGTAGTTGTAGTTGCCCAAGATGGAGAAGACAAAGTACCACAACGAGTACAGGAACGCGTTGTCGGTGAACGTGACGCCGATCTTCCACAGCTGGTACCGCCAGTCGATGGACGTGATGCTGCGGAGAGCGGCCGAGAACATCAGTCACACCCCGAGGTCCCGTCATTAGCCCCACACCGCCGCATAAGGAACTCACATAACTTCCGTCCGGTCAGGGTCATAGCCAGCCGGCGGCTCAGAGGACTCTAAAACCGGCGGGACTCCTGCTGGTGATGCTTCTAATTCCTATTCGCCGTCGCCGTCACTGTCACCGCTGACATGCGAACAGACAGTCCAACAGAGACATCTCCATAATACCAACAAGAAAGTGCGCCGGACGGCCCGAAAAAGGTGGTAACACGGTTCGCTGCGAGCGAGCGGGACAACATGGTAGACACCGGCGTATAGCTAACGGGATGACGATAACGGTTAAAAACAATGGTGCAGTGGATTTGCAACTGATAACAGCGGCTAAGCAGGAAACTTATTGATATTTACAAAACGCAATGTGTGTTTGCTTCCATACATGGCATGAAATTGATGCCAATTATCCAAAATTGTAAGATATTTGAGTTAATTCAAAAGAGATATAATCACAGTTACGATTCTTTCCGAACGTAACTCGAACTAGGCACTGGTCATCGGCATTTTCCTGTCAATTAGCATTTTGACGCAGATTGACAAGATAAGAAATGTAGGCATCTGTGTCCTTTTTCGGGCGGCAAAAGTGCCCCTAAGGACCCATCTCGCCAGCTTTTGAGAAGCGCAACTCACAACTGGACGTAAGTTGTCCTTCGTTCTCACGACGGGAGATACTCACAAGTGGAAGAAGCCGCTGCCGGTCGACTGCTGCGACATGGTCACCGATTTCTCCATGCCGAGCAGGTTGCTGATCTGGTCAAAATCGTACGAGTCGCTGTACTTTTGGCGGACGCGCTTCTTGACAAACTTGTCCCAGTAGTTGGCCGGGAACATCCTAGAATGAACGGTAAAGGCACAAGGGTCACTCTCTGCTCAGTGAACAAGTCATCAAAGGTCACAGAACACTGACCGGTAGGAACATGACCTCACCGACCATGGACCCACCGCGGAGGGCCATTGGGATGTTAGATGGACCACCCAACGCCACAGATGGGCCGATCAATAAAGAATACAGTGAACAAGCAAGTTTATAAACAGCATTCAATATTTTATTTGAGCAACACCTTGACCACTGTCAAAACATGATGGCATTTCCATTTACATTTCCTGCATTCCCTCGATCAAAGTCAAAACTGGGTGGCGCCAAGGATATCATACGATATTGATATCCATCCCCAATAAGACAGAGCAGCTGGGCTTTGTGCAGCGCAGGCCGTCAAAGTGTCAGCCTTTCAGCCTATACCAATAGATACACGTCAACTCTCCTCCTGGGCCTACCAAAGGTGGCGGTGGTGCGACTTACTTTGCCGATATGACCAGTTTATCCCAGTGTGCCATCAGGTCGTCATCTTCAGGCTGAGAGGCTAGGTACAGTCCGTCGAACTCCAGCTTACGGCACACCTCCTTCTCACGTTTGAAGATACCCAGAGGCACCTGTGGACGGAGTCGTGGTCATCAGGGGCTGATTGGGAATAAAGACTGTAAGGGATGGTTGCCAGGACTGTAAGGTTAGCCGGATTACTGTTGAGGGTCATCAGTGTCGAAGTTGCAAGGCAGTAAGGGTAACAGGATCTGTACGTACAGCTATAAGGCTGGTCAGGTCAAGATCGTAAGTTTAGCCGGGCCGGGACGGTAAAGTTAGCTGGGCCATGGCTTCAAGTTCAGTTGGTTCGATAAGAAATGCTCTGCCCTTGCAACCAACGGGTAAATACATCCAACTGACCAGCATCCTACCTATCTTAGCTCATCTACAGTCATCTCTCGTGTACCGTAGTAGCGAGTTTGATTGATGGAGTCGTACAGTTACCAAATCGTGAATTACACGCACCAATGCTATTATTTACTACCGAGTCCATCCGTGTGCCAGCTGTCGGTTCAGCCATCCATCGAGCACCGAGCCAGTGGGCCGGTCACAACAGAAAGATAACCCAACTGTCCAACAACCATCAGTAGCCTTGACCTTGCTTCGTAGTTATTTATGTAGCTTTCCTTACGGTCGCACATGATCAGAATAGTGCAGCTACCGAAGTACGATTACAGAAAAATGTGAGGCAGCTCCAGTCAGCTCCGTATACTTGGGCACATCTCAAGCATGACTGCATCTCATATCAGCCTGAGTGTCTTTCAATATCCATTACAAAAGTGTTCTGGCTTTGCTCGAGTTTGTTGTTTTTGCCTGTATCGAAGAAAGCTCACCTTGAGATGATAATAGGCAACCAGCATGAAGAGCGAGACGATACTGTGAATGATAGACATGAGGCGAACCACGTGCTCCAGGAAAAAGTACTTGTCGTCCACGTGGATCCATTCGGGCCCGTCTTCATCGTCGTCGTCGCCTCCACCGTCCGCACCGTCTCCAGAGCCCGTTATGTCCAGTTCTGCAGGCCAGGGAAGACAGTCAGAACTTACTCAGTACTCACAACACACACGGCGGTTACAATACTTAGGGTGCGTCGACACACACGGCACTCCAAAGCCACCACAGCCGGGGGCGGCATCCCGCGCACCGTATCAGGCGTTGGGTGACATTCAGTCATTTGTCACTGAGTGGGGTGACAAAGAGAGTTGTGGTGGTCGTACGACATAATAGACAGGGGTGTAGACAGAATGACAAATGTGTGGGCAGATTGACAAGTGCACGGACAGAAGACAGGTCTGGAAGACGCGATGATCGGTGAGATTGGAGGGGAGTGTTTTGTAGTGAGTGGTTTAGAGCCATGTTGAGATGAACCCGTCTATGCTGCTCGATTGATCTTTGATCCTACCGGTGAGTTATTGCTTAAAATCGTAGATCGACTTTATATTGATTGTTTTATCAAACTCCGTACCATGTCTGGTTTGGATGGAACACGCTGATACGTCCGATCTCGACCATTATTCTCCTATCATGATGCACGCTTAACCCGCGCCCAGATGGGGTCTGCCGAGCAACGCGGTCTGATGGGGGGGGGGGCCATTTTGGCCCCCCCTCAGATCTCGAGAACCACGCAACATAGCGACAAGCGGTAAACGGTGTTGGATAGCCCCAACAGGGAACTACCTTGTGACCCAATTTCATTGACCTCGGTCAAACCGATGACGTCACAGGTCAGGTCAAAGGTCGAATTTTCACCGTTTACAGGCATTTCAAGAAATGCGTTGTAAAATCGTGTAAAATGCATTTCATTGAAAATCATCGATGGGGAAATGTTCTTCAAACACATATTTTGCTATTTGAGGTCACTGATACCAGGTCAGGTCACAGAGGTCAGGTCACTGGGGGGTCACAATATGAAAGTGTCGTGTGATACATGTTTTATGGTCCATTTTACATGACAAATGCGATTATGTGGGTCAGACAGACTTTAGGGCCAGCTTAGGTCATGTTTTGGTCAAGGTCAGGTCAAGGTCAGGTCAAGGTCAGGTCAAATTAGGTCAAATTTCAAAGTTGATATTTTTGCATAAAATGGGTATCGATTCGATGCAGCTCGTCACGGGGAGTTCAATGGTGGTCTCCGTTTTGCGCTACTAGGTCAAGAATTGCTAAAAATCGAGTTCAAAAATTTGACGTCATCAATTTTTAACAGTTTTTTCGCTATAACTTGGCCAAAAAAAGAGATATCGATCTAAAATTTGGTATGTATATCGAAGAGCGCAGGGACTATCACATATATTCCGGTTTTTTCGAAATTCGAAAATTTTTTGGAAATTTTTAGAGTTTTTCTAAAAAAATCAATTTTTTTGATTTTTGGGGGTCAAAATCCAAAAATTTCAAAAATCCGAGATAGCAGTTTTGTAGCGCCGTTTTTTTCTCTACACAACCACATAAAGAACTTTAAAATTGCTTGTGAACTGTAGAATTGGTGAGCGTTTCAAGATGTCATGTTTTTTGCTCATTTTTACTCGAACATGACCTCAGTTTGACCTCAATAACTCCTGACCTGAGGTGACCTGTGACTTGAAATTTTGTGTGAAGGTGTCAAATTGATGTCCGGTAAGGTACCCAAAATTTGGCGGCGCTGCGCGCCGCCGTTTTTTCGTTATTAAAGAAAAACCACAGGGGGGGCCAAAATGGCCCCCCCCATCAGGGCGCGGGTTAAGCCCTCTCAGGGATAGAGCAGCTTGACAGAGCTATCCGTGCACGTAGGTCAGTTGCCGTATCTATCATGGCAGCTGCTGCAGTAGCTTTAGTGGACAGATGATGTCTCTGTGATTAGGTCTATCAGTGAGCACGTACCGCCCGATCCCGATCCACTGCCTGATATCTGATCAGCCAGGTCCGCCGCCGATTCTTCATCATCGTCTCCGTCCTCCAGCAGGGCACTCGCCTGGAACAAACGCCAAACACACAGAAATCAGTGCCGGCATCCACTAATATCCCAAGCGGAGTGGATGATCATAATGCGGGGAGTGTCCTCTAGCCGAGCACTCGCCTGGAACAAATGTCAAACACACAGACATCAGCTCCAGTCTGTTCACAGCGCTGATACCCTCAAGGTGGTATGAAAGGATAAGAAGGGGACGGTAGCTCAGAATGAAGGTTCTGATGTAGCTCAATATAGCTCAAAGAAGCTAAAAAAAAAATTAGCCCAAAAGATAGAGTGTTCCGTGGCCCACAAAAGATAGGTAAAACTTATCTAATCGTATGAAAGTGGGAAGTTTAATAACATTGCTGATGCTTACCTAATAACGTCATACGGTATAGAAATAAATGCAGACTTTGTAGGTAGGCACAGCAAGAGCAACACTAATAGAGGTGAGTTGGGAAAGGAGGCCACGTATTGTGCTGTCCCCAACACTATGTCCCGCTGTTATCACCTGATATACTGCACGGACACAACAATTCGCGACAAGGTTGTTAATGGCCTACGCTATGCAAATTGAGTCACTTCAGATGTAACCCCGTGTCGCAAACGTTGCAAGAGGAGACGAAAGTGTCTCGTTTGTATTGGCGGCATTTCAGTGTCAGATCCTGACCACTTCTGCACTTGGCACGGTGACTTGCTGAAGATGAACCGGCTCGGAACAGGTGCGTTCTCCGCCAGATGACCCAGCCACTGGAGTTGGTTCGACAGGCCGCCGCTGACACACACTCAGTGGGTGGTTCAGCGCCCTTGACACGCGGCGCGGCGGCGGCAGGGCCAGGGGACGCCGCAGCTCCCATGACTCTCAGCTATACATCACGGCACGTCGTGCCGGCCGGCCATCACCACAGGCAATCGGACATTCCGATAGGTCGCCTCTAAAGGTCGCCGACAATGCCGCCTCCCGACCGGCGAGATGCGAGCAATGGCCGCTTCGCGACAGCTATCAGCATAATTCAGACGGATCCAGCCGGCGCGCTGAGATGGGCACCGAGAGGACGGCGTGACGCACCCGGCCACCACGTGACACGGGTCAGGGTCACGGCCAGGGGACGGGCACAGGAGGGGAGGGGAGGGGTGACGCAGATACCCGCCGCGTGGCAAAACCGGCTGTTGAGACATGGCTCAGCGACATCGTGTCGTAAGCATTCAGTAGGACCGTCGCCCCCGTCACCAAGGGGACCATAACCGACATGTAAATTACACGCAAATTGGATGTAAGGCAGTAAAAGAGCGGTAGGTCCGGCACTTTGAACGCGTTGTGCCATCGCTGAATGGTGCTTCCATTCAACTGTCGCCGACAATTTGAGTCGGTTCCCGAGTGAATCACCGGTACTCGTGAATAGCGTGGCGGCCAATTTCAAACAGTGCCTTCGATTAGATTCACATATTTATTGAATCGAAAAATAGCGGCATCCATTCCATTCATTTCAAACAGCACATTAAAAGGATGCCTTTGTGGGTCAGCCCCATCTCCGAGATCACGTAGCGCGCAATGATGGCATGCTTATCCGCCACGCTATGTTTTCTGTTCTCCCATTGACATCGTCGGTAGTCCTTTCTCCCTCTCTCCCGTGTTGTTCCATCATGGCAGAGAACGTCTGCAGATTTATAATAACCTGATGGCATTCGCCAGCCGGACTTGCCGCTGGGCTGGTCGTCCAGCGGGAGGGAGAAGCCGAAACCCCAACGGTCGCGGAGTGGGGGCACAGCAGTACTTACATCGGCTGGAGGCGGGGCTAGCGGCGCCCGAGGGCTTGCGGCACACGCCGGCCGGCCGTGCGTGCGCGTCGCACCGGCCGGCGGCGTCAAAATAACGGGGCCGTGGCGGCGCCGGGGGGCGGGCGCCCCTCCCCCGGCACCGCAGTGGTCACAGCACCGGTCAGCCAGGTCATCGGGGTCAGTCAGGTCAGCCGGGGTCAGGCTGGCACCTCAGCAGACGGCGGACGGCGGACGCCTGGCCGGCACTTTCACTGGCACTCGACGCTCATGAATTGCCAAGAGGCCGGCATTTCCATGGTTGCTCGCGATGCGTTTCGCGGAGACGAAGGTCACCATGTGCTGGCGGCGGCGCCTTCTGGCAAAAACGGCCGCCGGGTCATCCGTCATGGAGGCAGCGGTGGCCGGCGGTCGTGGGGAGCGACCACCGGGGGGACATCGGCGACTGCAGCGCCGGCCGCCGCCGCCCGCCGCCGGCGCATGCTAAACAGCCCACCGTTGAGAAATAACGGAGCCAGGCTGCCAAAGCTCAGATTAATGGCCATCGACGGAGAGTGTCCGAGGCCCTGGCCACCGGTACTGGGCGCAGTCCATGACAGCGGGCCGCGACACCTGCCACGGGCCGGCTGTCCGGCAGGCGCCGTCATGAGGCACCGTCAGAGTCCCTGCCACATGCCGACTGTCCCGCAGGCGAAGCTATGAGCCCCCCCCCCCTCGTCAGATGTCTCTGCCACGGACCGGCTGTCCCTATGAAGGGGGGGGGGGGTGCTATGAAGCCCTGTCAATGCCACGGGCCTCAAGTCAGGGTGCCGCGAGCCGGCTGTCCCTCAGGAACGACATTAGTGGTCAGTGTCCCAGTGTCTGACGTCAGCGTCCCCGGGGCGTTACCAGGAGCCCGGTGGCTCATGGCAGCTCGGGATCTCAAGGCATGGAAGCCCGGCGACCGGCATTCAAGCTATGCTACCACCAGGGAGCGCTGCCATGCGTCAGTGGCCCCTGCCGCGGGCCGGCTGTCCCTTTGGGGTTAGGAGCACCATTAGCCCGAGCCACAAATATGGACCCGAGCCAGACGACTGGCAGCTAACCTTATCAGTCACAAATCGGCACTCTGGAGATGCCCTTGACCCCATGGCACCATGGAGATGTGGATTATTGACAGATTCTTACGATGCATGCATGATACGGGTGTCTATGCATGAATGTATGGTAATTGGTAGTGTATGTGAAGTAAGCATAATTTGACGAATGGATGTGTGTATTGCGTATGCAAGTATCTTTGATGCATTACGTATGTAATACGTCGCCGTGTGATGGAGCTAAAGAAATGCAAGGTTTATCAAATGATTTAATTGTAATCGTTTTATATGTCTCATTTTACACATGGCCATAATGTTTTAGTTTTGCACAAGGTCCGCTACCGTAAGTTTGGCAAGCAATTAAGTGCTTATTTAATAGTTTTGTTTAACGTTTATGGGCATTTGATGTGCGGTGTTAGCGACTAACCATCCCATAAGCACCATCACCTCTGACCCCAGAGCAGATATCATCACCCACCTTGTAGAAGAGCAGCATGAAGTTGATGCAGAACGCCAGCACCAGCGCCATGTACTTGAGGTTGTAGAAGTTGCGGGCCAGGAAGCTAACCACGCGGTGAACGTACTCGCTAAGGTCAACCTGTCCAACAGAATACGCGACAGAGGTTATGGCTGTTGAATGACTCGAAATTGCTCATTCGACAACGCACAAAACAAGTAAACAACGGCAAAAACCTGATCACGTCAGCACTCAGAGAATGAGAAGACACTACTTGGTATGCTCGTTTCAGTTATCGACTACACTGACTTCTTCATTCCACCCATCGCAAAGAAGCACGCACACGGATTACAGGCGAGAACGGGGGACAGGCTCACAGACACAGATATAAACGAGGTGGGTGGCATATTTGAGGAATCGGGAAATGGTCTCTACCAAATGGTAAAGACCATTTGGTGGCGTTGTCGGATGGCAAAGAAAGGCACGGCGAACGGGACAGAAAAGGCAAACCGACGCCAGCACAGGACAGACGGAAGGGGGCGTTTGAGGGACAGACGGCAAACACCGATGCGCGGCAAACATCCAGCAGAAAGAGTGGACAGATCGCGGAATGAAAGACAGGCGGCTGAAGGCGGACGGCAGAGAGCAGAAACAGCGGACCTTGGACGGCAGATAAAAGACACCGAGAGGGTTGAAACTAGACATATAAAAGAACATAAGTAGAGGGCATAGGGCGGACTTCTTGCAGTCCGCACATACCTGGGCGACGGCGGCCGGCTCGGCGGCGGTGGTCGGCGCGTTCGTGTCCTCCTTCTCCTCCAGCACAGCCGCCTGCTGCTTCTCAATCTCCCTGCGCTCCGCCCTGAGGACAGAGAAGAACGGAGTTTAACGCCTTCTACCTCCGTTCGGTACTGAGAACAGCGGGAACGGGACGTATTAGGTCAAACTCCCTCCGTCCTGTGGACAGAAAAACGAAGCGTGACACCATGGAAGGTCAAGTCTCCTACTTTCGCCCTAAAGGGAACGGAACGTAAAATCAAGTCCCCTAGGTCAAACTACCTCCACTCGGCCCTGAGGGAAGAGGGAACGGAGCGTAAGACAGGTCAATCTCTCTCCACTCCGCCCCGAGAGCAGAGTGAACGAAACGTAACACCAGTCTCGCTTTCGGTCAGCCCTGAGAGCAGAGGGGACGGATCGTAACGTCAGGTGCTCTTACGCCAAGGAACGTAACACCAGGTGCTCTTAGGAAAATGCACAGACATGTGATGAGAATGTGGTCTGCAGTAAACACCGAGAGAGGGGTACGATCGTGCAATATCAGAAAAGGAAGAACAGGGGTCAGGTGCAGACGTTTGCCAGGTCTGTAGCTCGCCTCAGCCAAGTGGGCGGCGATACGCGTCAGTAGCCACGCTGTACCGGCGGTTTTAAAATGCATGGGTCAGTCGGCAGAAGACGCTCTCATTTTGACAGTGAATTCAATACAGGGGTGTGACATATCACGAAGCAATGTAAGACTGTGGCAACCACAGGATTTATAAGGCAGGCGTTCCGAAACATGTTGCAAGTAAAATGATGATACCATTGTAAAGTATTGTCTTCAATAACGCATTGACGCATTCACCATTCAGTGTTGAATAATATCATCGTAAGACAAACAATTGAGTTAACACGGAAGATTACCGGTGATTCTACTATGCACATTAAGTGCTAGCAATAATCACGCCGAGATTAATCTTACAAGCAGGCCTGTGCAGCTGACCATATAATCAGCACCATCAGCCGGCGAGCAATAATCATAATTCATAAATGGTGAGACGCTATTAATAGCTTTGCAGAGTACCTACCACTACAAGAAGAAAGCCGAACGTGCCTGCAATCAAGGCTCGCAAAATAGACGTTATACTGTCGATGGTGTGGGTTAATTGAATTGACATCTCCAAATACAATTAACTTAATATTAACTATAACTAACTATATTAACTATAAATATAACTAACTATATAGTCATCTTTCAGACCTTTTGAAGTGTAAGCATACGGTCGCGGGAGTCGTCTCATGTCGAATAACGCTTCCTCTGATGCACATTCGACACTATTCTGTTAGATACCCTCGACCCGATGGACAAGGTCAGTGGAGCTTGAAAACTGTTCTTGAGCCACCGTACAATTTTCCGGGAGGTGGTGGCTACATATAATTAGGATCCTGCTTCCATTAAACGTATGGCAGTCTCAGAGATCTATGTTAGTGCTAACTAATGAAATGTAAACTGAAACCATGTTGTCTCTGCAAATAAAATTACATTCAAATCAAAATAACGACATATGTAGTCACACACGCGCTCTTCAATTACAGTTTCCCCTCTTATCACCAATCAACTCAGTTTCCACACCAATGAGCCGCACCATTTGTCACGACCCCGCTCATTGCTGAGTTACCACATGATAGGGTGAGCATTGCTCAACTTGCGCTCATCACTGGCCGCACGCCGGCGCGCATACATACATACAGAGATCCGCGGCGGTGACCGGCGTCCTAATGCACCGTGCCGAGCCAATCCCGTCACTGGCCGCACGTGCATATCGAGAGGAGCGCCCGACCCTCTGACGGCTCTGATCCGTCCTCCCCGTCACATTCTCGGCATTCCGTGACGTCGTGGAAGCGTCACGGTTTCCCAGGAAGAGGTGTCCGGGTACGAGTTGGGCACTGGGCGAACCAACAATCGATCGCATACATCCACTGACCAGGGCGCCGCCAATGAAGGGTCTTTCAGGACCGTGGTGGGGAGCGTTGCACGGATTATCGGGACGGAAGTCATACATCACCCTCCAGTACAGATCGATATGTCCTCTGATAATCGGATACCTAACCTGGCAGACTGCGGTCGGCCAAGGAACATAATATGCCGTTGCTAAAGGGTAGAACCTCAGCATCATCGGGAAAACAGCGCAGAGCTTCAGCGGCGGCAGGAAGACGGTGGGAACATGTAGCTTCCCAGCATCGGCGAGGCACGGATAACAGGCATATCAAAATCCCAAAGCATCAGAGGCAGGCGGATAAAACGTCAGCTGCAATGGCTTTTAGAGCCACATCAGCCACAGAGAGACAGTTTGTTCCCGCTTTAGCGTCAGACAGATAGTCGAGCCTAGCAGCAGCGGCAAACGGTACGCCGAGCGTGTCGCAATGACCCCTTCAGAAGGCCGACAGACAAGGTCGCCGGCCATCAGTAGGCCAGCATCGGTCACTGATAATTATTAGTAAGCGGTCAGCGGCCAAATGGTCGATGGATAGTAATGGTCAGTGACCTGTGATCAATTGAGTGAATCCGCCAACCCAGCGGCCAACAGTCGCCGTTTTTATTGAAGCTACCTATCCCAACGGGCCAGCCTGATTCCCTCCCTGTTGCGTCGTAGGGAAGCCAATAATATACGGCCGTCGGCTTACCAGGCCGCCGAGGGACATACGCAAGCATGCATTCATGGTTGAGCAACATTCAGTGGCGGCGGCATGCTGCCTGGAAACTATCTCCAGGGGCCACGGGGGACGGCTGGGACAGGTTAGATAGGTGGGACAAGCGGGATGGGTGGGACCTAGGAGTAAAGGGGATGTGAGAAGTAAGTGGGACAGGTGGGATGGTGGGACATGTGTCGTCAATGGGTGGGCTCGGTTCAGTGGGACAAGTGTGGTAGGTGGGCCAGGTATGACAGGCCACTCCTACATGCCGAGTAAGGCGCCTGACCAGCGTATATTCAAGCAGACGGTTGATATTTCGCCAGGACCTGGCGGTCCTGGCGTCTCCCGTGCAATCGTCTGGCGTCCATCCGTCCGTCTCTCGTCTGCTGTCATCCAATCTCCTGTCTCCCGCCTGTCTCCCGTTCTCTGTCTCCGTCCGTCTCCGTCTCCCATCCGTCCTTATCTCTGTCTCCCGTCCCCCGTCTTCGTCTCTGTCTCTCGTCTTCAGTCTTTCGTCCTCCATCCGTCCGGCTCCATCAACCCGTCTCCGCCCGCCGGCGCTGCATGACGCTGCGCCGTCACCCATTCAGACTGTCATTCATTGTGCCGCGTGCCGGGCCGCTGCGCCTATGCGCACCGTTTACACTGCTGCAGCTAGAAACAATCGTCGACGACTCTTCTGCCGAGGCGTCAATGTGGAATCGGCAGTGTCACGCGTGGTGTCGTAACCGCGCCACCCGGGCGACGATGGGGTGTCGGACGGCCGCCCGTGCGGGCCATTGTCAATGGCGGTTTTGTTAGATGACAACAGGTTATAGACAAGTGTTCAAATGAGTCGGACGTGCCCTTAGAAGTCAGGAGTGTCGAGTGACGCTGTCGCGACCCGGGCTGTTATGACTGGGTCATGGGCGAAGAAAGGTATGAAGGTAAATGGACAGGAAACCGGTAACTAATTAATTAAGGAAGACGGCGGAGCGGCGTCTCAGATTCAGCGAGGTGCTGATTGAATATCGCCGGGTCAGCGGGGTGAGAACCATGGGCAGGTCAGGGGTATATGATATGATGCAGCGAGATATCCTTGTCTATCTGCCATGGACGTCGGATCATTAGAACACGTGCACACACGAGCACGAGCATACACACGTAGACACACGTAGACACGTACGAACCGGGATTTCAACAAACTGAACATTGAATATGATATCCGATTTTGGTGAGCGGATACCTGTCTTCCCAGAGAGCTCGAAAACTAACGGACGTAGTGTGAAACGGTTAATAACATTCGAGAAAGTTCGCAAAATCTGGAAAGCAAAGAAGCTCGGCTGCTTCTTTATCGCATGATAAAAAACGGTGGCAACTGGCACCTGAGTTAATCAGAGGTCAAATTTTGGATTTTCTCGACTGAAGTTAATAATCGACAAACGACGATGTAGCTATACGAAATGGCTAAATCGGCTTTGGAAGTCGCGAGAAAAGGATAGAGCACTGAAATAAATTTCAGCAGTATGCCAAAATATTTGATCTGACGTCAACTGTTTGGCCTAAAAAAGCTATAAAAAGATAAATATCTGACTTTTCGCGGGTGTATTTGTATCCAATCTTCTCCAAGCTGTAGTTGACAATGAGGCGATTACACAGAATTTACCTTACATATACAAACCTTATACATTTCTAATAAAAATCGAGACAAACGGAAAGTGCCCCGTGATGACTACATTACCTTCCGTGAACGTCAATGTTTTTTTTTTCATTAGAACATCGAATGTGGCAAAATGTTTAATAGGACTACGGACTGCGGAGTCAGAGTCAGATTCGCAGTTGACAATTCTGACTGGAGTCGGAGTCGGAGTCGAGTTTGGAAGCCGGATTCGGAGTCGGAGTCACCAAAATCCATCGACTACGCAGACCTGCAGGCCGAGGAGTCGAATCGATAGGAGTCGACAGTTCTGCCCAGAGTCGGGGTCGGAGCCGGAGTCGATTTCTGAAAGCCAGAGCCGCAGTCGGAGTCACATAAGATCCATCGAATCCGGAGACCTCATTTTTAACATGGAAAATGAATTTCGATCTTAGGCCACTTAGCATCTTCAAGTTATGGGATCAAAGTTTTGCGGGCGCATGCACTATGCATATTGCAAGGGTTGCGCCAAATTTGGTGGGAGGTCTAATGTCCATTTCCCATTCGTCATGAGCTATGCGGCGGCAAGTTTAGCCCGCTTTGTCATCTACCTATACTTTCCACAACTATGCAGTCAGCAAGCTAAGGTTCGAGTCCTTTTAACCCGCGACCTGGTGGGGGGGGGGGGGGGCTATTTTTTGCGGTGCGAGCGACTTTAGCGAGTGTCATTTGAGCGAACGATTTTGAGCGAACCATTTTCAGCGAATGGCAATTCAGCGATTATCAAGTTCAGCGAT